AGCAAAAGTTGGCTTCCATGGTTTGTTTGGAAATGTATTGGTTGGCTTCATAACCTAATTGATAAGACAAGGTAGATAAGTTATACATGTGTTGTACATGACCTCACCTTTATGTCTTGTCCTAACCTACTTGAGGTGTGCATTCCATGTAAATGTGGAAGATGTCATTTCTTCTCATGTCAATTCATAAATGTTTAATAATAATGTGTTGTAAAAAAAGAGTTTTAATTAGGGTTATATTTGGCCACTTAATTTGTCCCAATGGGCTTTCACCCACATCATGGTAGACTGGTATAAATATCATTTTTTCACACAAACCCCATCACATTGAATGTGGGTTATAAACATGACAATCGAATATTCTTCGTATTTGCAGAGCAAATGCATGACTGAATGGATGCACAATATATGCACAACCTATGCATAAGGAGCTGCTTCTACCATTTAAACAAAAAAAAAAAAAAAAAAACACTTTAATCGAAATATACCATGACATGCACATTACAGGGACACCCCATGCAAGGGAAACAATCATGTGGTGTTGGGGATATCAACAAGTTCCCTGCAAGTTCGTTGGTTAAGACTAAGCTTCCAGCAATGCTTGCATTTCTGATGGACTATATCTTCTCCTTAGGACGGGATACACCGTTTCTTAGGTCTCCAGGCCAGTACCTTACCTATCAGAGGAAGGACTAACATGCGTTCAGCTGCATGTTTTATGTTCCATTGCATAGCAGGAAATACCAGGTATATGGAATCAGAATAAGCTGCCTCCCATGCTACACGACTATAATAGTTCGAAGCCAACTTATAGAAGTTGTAGTTTGCAAATAAGCAAGCTGTAATGGCGTGTTTGCAGGGCAATTGTTCAAGATTAAATTTTTGGCAAGTGTAAGTCTTGTAATTTATATCGGCCATAACTTCACCGTCCGCGTGGTAAACATGAAACTCGGTGTCGCTTACTTTATGGACATGCATGTGCCTTGCATACAACGTGGTGGTGATCATACGCATTATATCCTACCTTTGACAAAACCATATTTGCAACACAGCCCTAAGGAAATCGATCAAGTAAAGTATGGGCAACCCCCTCGTAAAGTTAAATCGGATTAATCTCTCGGCAATGTTAATGGTCATTACGTTGTACCTCTTCCCATTCATTCGAGCCCGAGACCACTTTTCCACACTCACATCATTTAGGTACTATGCTACCAAGTCTCTCACCTTGATGAAATGTGTGTCAAACTCAGCATAGAAATAGGATTTAGTTGCCTTGTGATAGTGGTAGAAAAAGTTATCCTTTTTAGGCAAAACTTGGCCTTAATATTCCCTTTCAAGTGATACATGCATAAACTATGTTAAGCTTTTTTGAAAACCTTATTGACCACAATTATGATGCTTGCGTTGCAATCCAAAATTATAACCAAATTCGGTACATCCCCAAACATTCCGTGAATTTGCTTGAAAAACTGCTCCTAGCAATCATCGTTCTCTGTGTCGCCTATGCTGAAAGCCAAAGGGTAGATGTTGCAGTTACAGTCAAATATTATCGTGACTAAGAAGACACCTTTGTACTTAGACTTCAAGGGAGATGCATCAACTACAATAATTGGCCGCATCTATGACAAGAAACCCCTGACTAATGCACCAATTACAAAGAAAAAGTACCAAAAACAATGGTCTTTGTCAGTTAGAATGGTTGGCTTGTTGCCCAAATTTAGCCTCTCAAATTCGACACAATCGGTGGGAGGATTGGCATATGAGTCCCCAGGTGAACCATATCTTATGCCAATGTTAGTCATCTAGCCTGAGATGTTGACTTATAGCTAATTGTGACCTCGAGAGTGGTTTTAACATCGTGCACAACATCTGTGGCATTGTACACCATATTGGGATCATTGAACTTTTCCCTTATCATGTGACCAATAAGCCGTGTATTGACTTGCGGGTGACGATCCTTCAACAAAGCTAAATCATATAGGTAGAAGACTTCATCTTTGGCAATCCTAAACTCCCCAATACCTTTCCGGTATACAAAAATCCGCCATGGACACCGGGCATCCTTACACTTGACAATGAAACGCCCCTTCAAAGATGTATCGACCTTGTACTGAAAATTCCCTTTATTTGATTTCAATCAAAGCCTTCTTGACAGATCTTGCTTGTCAACAAAAAGGTCACCCATTTTCAAATACGGTTGTCAATCTGCGTTTCCCTCTACACCATAGCTTAGGATTTTCATGTAAGCATAAGAATTGATAGTAGATTCATTCATGCCTTCCACAACCGTTTCTCTTTCCCTTTCGATTTTCGACACGTGCACCTCTATTTGGTTGTACCTTATTAGTGTGTACATCACATTTTGAGTTGTAAAATTGGTCTAGGTAGTTGAATCAAATCTATACTACCATGATTCAAAGTCCACCATGGTAACCCAATCTATGTCATCGCCATCTTCAAAAGGCACATCCGTAGTACCCAAAACTCTTTGTTTGCTAGCTAAAGTACTCGTTACTTTAAACGTTGCATCCGACCATAGTGGGACCTTAGTGGGAGGTGGGTTCATACTGCCTGAGATGTGGAGCATGGATAATAAACAATAAGGACTATGTGTATTTGTTATAGGAGCCACGTTCCATGTCCTAAAGTACCTTAAAGTGAAGAGTATGAAATATGTAAGTATGCACTATATACATTGTACGTACGACGTACATGACATAAACACTATATCACTATGCACACGTCATGCAAAGGAAATGCACATGTCATGTACATACAGTGCACATGTCAAGCATATTAAATATATACTATATGCACATGACAAGAACATAAAATATACACTATATGCACATATTATGCATAAAGTTGGAGATTGGGCAGCGAGTTGCTTTTAATATTTATATGACACCATTTATGCCATGTTATTCATATAGTGGATACAATTACAACATTATCCGGAAGGATCACATATATCCAAAAGATTGTAATTTGCACATTAAACAACTCACAATGTCAAATTCGTTAACCAAAATAATCATATCATATGTAACAATAGTAGTGTGTACTTCACAATTCACAAAGACTAAGTGTATACGTGTAAACCAAAACATTGACATAAGGCTATTGCAACAGCCCCAATACGTTTGCCGACCACATAACAGAAGATGATGATGAATGGTTAAATATTGACAAACCCAACTGAGCAAACAACAGTCACTTTGATAACTTTGTTGAAATCCACTCTCGAAAATGTAATACCATTAGTCCCAAACAGTCACTTTGATAACTTTGTTGAAATCCACTCTCGAAAATGTAATACCATTAGTCCCAACAAGAAAAACCTCAAATATTTGACTTTGAATACTTAACAAGCCAATCATGACTATTAATGTTTGTAGAGTTCTTGGAGGATATCATGAACCAACAAACTTCCTTATCGGTGATGGATTTCAGATCCCTGGACAGCAAAATACGTTGATCAACACACGATTCGTATGTAAAACTAACATAATTCATATGTAAAACAAACACATTCATATGTAACAAATAACACAAACATCAATTTGTTCAAAGTAAACCACCACAATGGGCAACCGTATTCCTTACAAAGTATGAAAAGGTTCACTTACATTTCTTATGAAAAACCCTCTTTAGACGGAGCTTCCTTTTTGTCAATCTCATTATGTAGTACCAGCACTGGAATACCATTTAGCGATGCCTTTCTTAAGAGGTCATCAAGTTCTTTTCTTCAAACTTGCAAGTTATCACAATTAGCAACAACTGCAACACAACTGCAACTTGAAAAAAAAAGGGACAAAGTCAACATAACATATAGTTAGTTTTGGAAGATAAAACATCTTATGGAAGACTGGCATTCGTATCATTGCATATATAAACAAAAGATTAACAATTCTAGTGTGTCACCAACAATAACTATAATGTTTACTGTCATAGTTGGGAAAAAAAAAAAAAAAACATTCAAATCATATGCCTACAAACTGTACAAATAAGCAGAAACATACACAATAGTGGAAACTGCACGACAATATCTTTCCCACATGTTTTGAAACTTGGGTCAACCACCAAGATCCCATAACTTTATTGTTGACATTCCCTTTTGTTACTTTCTTCATCCAACATGTACACAAAAGAGATTGCCTTAAGTAAGATAATTGTGCGAATGCAAATGCTTTAAGTAAGATAACTGTGCATTCCGTGTACAATTTCTTACATACTGTACCAAGACTTCTAATTCACAAACTTTTTCAAACAAACACCGATTCGAGATCGAATTCACAAACATTTGCAAGTTCAGAACAAAATTAACAAATATTGTGCATCAATTAAAATGCAAAACTCTAAGATTGAAACCCAAAAATTGAAACCCAGAAATCTAAAATAACAAAACCCACAAACAAATAAAGATTTCCATAACACATTTCGAGCCCTCTCTTCCCCATCCCTCTTTTGTTCGACTTCCCATCTTTGCAAATCCAAAAAACCTAATTGAACAAACAAGTAATTAGTTGCAGAAATGGAAACAATGACCAAGTTAGAAAGAGAAATAGATGAGAGAAAGACAGACGAACCTGATGGCAGTGGAAATATGGCTGCCCAACTTCATTGGCCGGAAAGAATGAAATTTTCCGGCCAAAATGCAAAATTTGGTACAAAAATCACATCTTTAAGGATGGAACATTGATGCAAACAAGAAACATCACTTTGAAGCTTCACTCTCAACTTCCCTCTATTCGAAATCGGAGCTCAGAGATTTGAGCTCAACCTAGAAACCCAGAGCTCATAGAGCTTTCGACATCCCTCTCCAGCCAATAAGAACATTGATGAAATGAGCTAAGGATTTTTAGTATTTATATGTGGCCATTTTAGTAATTCGGTTTTGTGCATGGTGGGCATGTTACGTGCATGGCCGGTTTGTCCCATTTTTGTCCCAAGATTAAGAAATTGTCCCATTTTGGGATATTTCCCTATATATATTTTTTTTGTTACAGTAGTGGATGAGATCGAAAGTTATAAAAACGCTAGCCGTACATATTTTCCCTAAGGACTAGCTCCACAGGCTTCCCTTTGATTTGGCCTTCACGGCTGCAAATCAACCATACATGCTCTTTGTACGGTCAGTCATGTTTTATTTTGGATTCTCTAGCTAGACGCCAAATATGTATATAATCTCTGGCATGTAATGTAATAAAAAGACAGATCCAGAGAAGAAAAAAACAGGGTCATAACTCGATCGATCGGTAAACTCACATCACAGCTCTCTCTCTCTCTCTAGGGATTAATTTGTACGTACCGTACGTTCTTTCTGAAAAATGGCGCCTCGAGGAACCCTAGAAGTTCAACTTGTTGGTGCTAAGGAACTGAAAAATATGGACGTCGGTAATTAAGTTCTCTCTCTCGTTTTGCATATGGCTCTTCAGTTTGTCTTCCGGCTTCGAATTTGTTTCTAACACCTAATATTATTGGATGTAGCGATGATGGATCCTTATTGTGTAATCACCTACAAAGATCAGCAGAAGAAGAGCGGCGTGGCACGCGGTCAGTTTTCTAGTCTACCTCAACTTTTTATGCAATGCTATTAGGATACATTAAACTAATATTTATCGCTACCATGTTAGTACTACGGTCTAGTAGTATTATTTTTCACTTGTCAGTGAGAGATTTTAGATTCCATTTTCGCCAAAGACGAATTTGAACCACGTTAGTGCTAGCTCTTTATGAGGCATATCCCACTCCCTCACCCTCCTTAGTGTAGATAATATCCTCCATTCCAATAAAAATATAAAAATATTGCTAACATATTCACTAGTACAGTGGATTTCACATACATTAATAAGACCCACTTCTTTTATATTATTATATAGGTAATGTTAGGGTGACTAAAATTTTAAACGAAATTTGCAAATCAAATGATGTGTCATTAATAGGAAATAAGCACGTTAATCAACACTTAAGTAATAATCTAATCATCAACAACCACATTATTTGGTTTGCAAATTTGGTTTACAAAATTTGGTCTCCCTAGCATTCCTTCTTCTTCTTCTTCTTCTTCTTCTTCTTCTTCTTCTTCTTCTTCTTCTTCTTCCACTACTACTATTTTATACCACATTATTTGGTTTGCAAATTTGGTTTACAAAATTTGGTCTCCCTAGCATTCCTAGACCAAAGCATTCTTTCTTCTTCTTCTTCTTCTTCTTCTTCTTCTTCCACTACTACTATTTTATACCACATTATTTGGTTTGCAAATTTGGTTTACAAAATTTGGTCTCCCTAGCATTCCTTCTTCCACTACTACTATTTTATACTATACTCTTACATGCATTATTAATAATGAGTAATGCGCTATTCCGAAGCACAAAACTAACACAATTACTAATACATTTTCTAGTAGAGTTGCGAATTCGACCATAGTGAGTGACAAATTAATTTTACAGGAAGCTGAGCAAAATGATATTGGAAACAGAAAAAGAATAATATGTTACGTTGAATCATTAATGGCATATATCAGCAAAAGTAATAAGAAAAAGAAAAAATGATGGTGCAGGTCAGGGGTCTATGCCAGACTGGAACGAAACTCTGCTATTCACCATTGCTGGTGCTGAAGATGATCTCGGGATAAAAATATATGACCAGGACAGTGGTTCCCTTGATGATTACGTAGGAGAATTAAAGTAAGTACTTTGCAATCTCCATGCATGCAGTATTCTGCAAACTTTGCATAATGTAACCGTTAAATTACGCTTTGCAGCTTGAATGTTAGGTTTACGGCAGTCTTGGAGAGCTAAAAAGTAATTCGGATCATTAAAATACAATGTGTGAAGTCCAGTAAAATATCTTACGAATAAGCTTGTCGATAGAGAGAGAGATAAAGAACCAAAACTTATTCTAAAACTTAATGTCGATACAGAATTCCGCTAGATGCAATAGTAACCGACACTGGTTGCGAGGGGAGAATGCCACCAACGCCATACGAGGTAATGAGGCATGACAAAGTCAAAGGAGAGATTACCATTGGCCTCTATTTCAATCCTGAGGTATTAATTCTGTATGAATGAATATATATATATATATATATATGTATGTATGTATGTATGTATGTATGTATGTACTATATGCTAAAAGCTGAACTAATATAACACTGATTTTTCCTCCATTTGCTTCAGATATCTGTATTTTGTTAACGACAATAATATATATTTTAAGAAAATAATATTAATTGCATATATATATATAATATTTTCGTTTTTTCTTAGCCTGGCCATGAAAACCGTGGTGATTGCTGTGATGACGAGGAAGAAGAAGAAGATTGACATGGTGGATGCCTGAAGGATGTGCTTTTTCTCGACGCCACTACTTTATGAAATGTTGCTTTTTTTATCTTTTTATTTGCTGTGAAGAATAATACGCACGTTAATCTCTGGTTTTGGAGATTTCAGTGTTAGCAATGGAACGCATTGTAATAATAAAATTATACTTGTTTTTGACGTTTAGTTTCTGTAATGTTGACTCAAATATTCCTAAACCAATAGCAAACAATTACCACTACGGTTTAATGATATTATTTAGCTATTTATACGCAAATAATCTTAGATTCAAGTCTCATAAATTAAAAAAAAATAAATAAATATATATATATATATATCTTATAAATGACTAGTTTAATACTGAATATTGCAAGCCTATTATAAGACTTAACTCAACCACAAACTACCAGTGGGTTGGTCCAAAGCCTCCCATCAATCTTATAGCCCAAACTGTCCAAAATCCAAACTAATTTGATTTTATTAGTGGGTCATAAAATGTAGATTGTGCATTTGGTAAGAAGTAAGCACATAATTCCTATACTAAAACCCCAAAACAGTGATATTGTTCATGGACAGTGCGCGGACGAAAATGCCCTCCGTTTTGGTGTTGCTGTCCTGTTTGGTTGAGTCTTTGTACAGCGAAATTACACCAGTGCCCTTTGTTTGGTTGCATTTGACGGAATTGGACTTTGTTTCAGTTTTATTATAGGTTGTATTTGCTTTTACTATAGTTGAAGCATAGTTTTGTCAAGCCCACGTGTTGGTCATCGCGTGGTACTTTGTTTGGGTTATATTTTCTCCCGTTTTGTTTCCATCTTTGCTTCGTGGTCGCTCTCACCCATTTTGTTTCCTCTCATTTCCATCTTCACGGTCGCTCTCACCTCTCGGAGCTTAAATCCTTTTTGCCTCAAAATTTTCTGCTTCAGGTAGTCGCAAATTTTCGTCCTGTTGCTTTCAGTCAATGCTTTGTGCGGTTCTGCAGCCTGCGGTTGCTCGGAAAATACGAAATCGGTATAAGGTCTTTTTGATTTTTGGTTTGGTTGGAAGAAAGAGTTCTCTTTTGTTGTGTCTGAAGATATCAAAAACAAAATCTTTTTCTTTTCCTTAATTTTTTAACCCGGATCATGTTATGGGTTCTGATGAAAGATTAAACTGAGTTTGAGAGTTTTAGTTTATTGAAAGAGGCAAGGAGTTATTTTGAAAAATGGAGGTTGAAGGAAGAGAGTACGGATGGAGAGGAACCTCAGCCTGTACCCTTTTTTTTTTGCCCGTTTGTTTCCTCTTTGTCCAGTTTTCCATTTGTTCCCTTTTTGCCATTTATTATTTGTGCTTTGAGTTTTTTTGTTTGTTTGATCTCTTATATGAATATGTTTTGTTCTTTGTCTGTAATCGTCGTTATTAAAATGATGTGTGTTACTGTATGGCGCGGATCCGATGTATTGAAAATACTTAGTTGTCTTTTTTGGATTTCCTTGCTTATATTTAGTCTTGGTTTAGGTATTGTTGGTTAATTCCTTTGTCCATATAATAAACTGTGTGTGAACAGGCTGTGTAAGGTTTTTCTGATTTTTAGTTTGGTTGGAAGAAAGAGTTTTCTTTTGTTGTGTCTAAAGATATCAAAAACGAAATCTTTTTTTTTATTTTTTTTTCATAATTTTTTAACCCAGATCATGTTATGGGTTCTAATGGAAGATTAAATTGGGTTTGGGAGTTTTAGTTTATTGAAAGAGGCAGGGAGTTATTTTCGAAAAATGGAGGTCGAAGGAAGAGAGTACGGATGGAGAGGAAACTCAGTCTTTACCCTTTTTTTTATTGCCCGTTTGTTTCCTCTTTGTCCAGTATTCCATTTGTTCCCTTTTTGCCATTTATCATTTGTTCTTTGAGTTTTTTTGTATGTTTGATCTCTTATAGGAATATGTTTTATTCTTTGTTTGTAATCGTCATTAAAGTGATGTGTGTTTGTGTATGCCGCAGATCCAATGTATTGAAAATGCCTGCACTGATGAGGGGATGTGCCTGATAGGGTAATGGATTTAAAAATTTTAACCTGATGTTAGGTTTTTTTTTTTCATTGTGTATCCATAACTTCATGGTATTAAATTGTTGTTGGAAACTGAAATGAAGCCGAAAATATTGTGACAACCTGTCCCTAATTTTCCATATAACTTCTCCCCGAGTGTGTAAATTAACATTTATGCCCTTGTTGGTAAAGTGACGTTGACGTACTTATTTGACTTTTAATTATTTTTCTCATATCGTAATTAAATAGTATTCATTGTTACGAACGCAAGAGCGCGAGTTAGGCTCGAATCAGACTTGTAACGAAAAAATTACCTTTCGTTAAAGTACGTGAACAATGGGCAGAATTGTACACGTGCGTGGTAATTTTTTAGTACTAGAAAACTACTGTTTTTGATAGGGTACGTTAGATTTCGTTGGATTTCAAAGTGTGCAAATCTTATCCTTTTTCTCTTGTTTTAAAAAAACATGTTCGTGCCCTATCCCCCTCACCAATAAATTCATTTCCTACTTTCTTTCAACATCAAACACCCTCTCTTTTTGACCAATCAGAAATCCCTATCCTCTTCTCAACCAATCAGAACTCACCTTCTCTCTCTCTCTCTCTCTCTCTCTCTCTCTCTCTCTCTCTCTCTCTCTCTCTCTCTCTCTCTCTCTCTCATCTTCTCCTTCTCTTTCTCCTCACCTGTCACTCTCTCTTCACTGCAACTACAAGGACCTTCATCAAACACTCACAAATCAAGCTTAAAACTACCACCATTGTGATCCTCTCAACCTCACGAGCTTATCCGCACAACCGATCATGAAATGATCGAGATTTGAACCTCTAACTCGGAGCGACCCGAAGATCCGACTATGGTGGAGTTTTCCCAATGAGATTCCGTTCGTTTCACATGGTTTTGGGAGTTTTGGAAGCTTCTAGGTGACTCCCCGAGGTCACTAGCCTAGTTTTGAAGTGGAGCCGACAAGGAGACCCTCGGGTTTAAGACAATACAAGTAAAGGTGAGAGTTCTAGTGGATTTTAATCCATTTCCATCCACCTCTTGAACTTTTAAGAGGTAAAATCTTATTCTCCTTTCCGGGCTTCAAATCCATATAAAGTTCGTTAAAAACAGTTGAAAACTAAAGAAGTTATGGTGTTTTGAAATTTCTCCAAAAACCAGCAAGATTTTCCCAGTTTCCAACGAACTAGACAGTGGCGCTAACGCTAGTGGACGGTGAAGGATGATTGGAGAAGAAGGAGAATATTTCATCAAAGTTGACGAATATTCTGACGCCGTTATGTAACGCTGTTAGATTCTGTTAGTAGTTAACGAAATATTCCTTGGGATCTATCAGTTTTGCAAAGTGTGTGGCCTGCGCGTGGGCGCTCGTGTGGTCGTGGGCTAGGCGGCGCATGAGGACGTGTCTGGCCTCCGGCCGGCGAGTGATTGAGATGTGAAGGTCTGTGATGTCGAGTATAACGTTTTGGCATATTTAAACCCTCCGCTTGAGCAAAATATGGGGTTTTTCCTAGCTTTTCCGTATATGTCTTTATTAATTAATTATTATTAGTTGTTTCACATATAGGGGAGACTTACCCTGAGGACGCATGAGGACAAGCTAGGCTAGGGTGCTACGATCCATGAACGTGTCAGTGAGTGGGCATTTGTTTTCGTGTGTGTGTGTGTGTGTGTTTAAACTTGATAATTTCCATAAATGCTTTTGAATTGATTTATGCATATCATGCCATGATTAAATAACGTTATAAGAAATGTTGTATTGTTGTGAAATGCTAAAATAATCATACGGGATGCACAGGTAAGTTTATTATGTTGATTAGAATTATTGAATCATTATGGCATGCTTATATTTATGTAGTTTGCTCATCATTGATGCACCTTGGTGTTAGTGCTCACTTAGGGCAAAGGCCAGTCTTTCACGTGTATGTTCACCTCCGCACCGCACGCTCGTCTTGGATCCAAGTAAGTGCCAGTCCTGTCGTATAGGGTGCATTAGACAACTCTGACTCGTAGGTGATCGCGAATAACGCCAGTCTTCATGTGATTGTAGCACTACAACGTATATTATGATTACATCTAGTCTTGTCATACAAGTTGTATTAGGCAACTCCGATTCGTGTGCTAGCATAAAGTGATGAGCATCAATTCAGTCATACAGGTTGCATTAGGCAACTTCGACTTGGGTGTTAGTGTAGATTGATTGAACACTTGATTTTACTTATCTTACTATTGAGATGTTGTGATGTGGCATACTTCTAGATTTACTATTGATTTGCATTTGATTTCATACCAATACATAATATGATTTTCTAACTATACATGTTTTATGGTACTGTATGTTTAGAAAATAAATGGATTTTTTATAAACCTTTGTTTCTGTCAACTCACCCTTCTATTTTTTGCCCCTACAGGTCCTAAATAGCTGATTTACTTTGTGGCATACAAGGATTTGCCGACAATTTTGACATACCCCTAATAAATGTAGGAACTGTTTTCGGTTGTGTATTAATTATTTATTTAGTTTCGACTGCACACTGATTTGTCATCTCTACTCTGAACATTTGTATTCCATGGGTTCTACCTACTACTGCGCACTCACTTTATTAGTTTAAATAAATTCTAGTTTTGGTTTTAATTTATTTACACTTTTACATCACTTACACTTTTGGTTACGTCACCTTTGAGGTGTGTCAGTTTGGTATCAGAGCCTAGGTTTTGACGGTCCCGCATTCCTTATATGTGTTATAGGTACTAATAATTTTTTATCTCTTTTGTCAGAATCACGCCACCTCGTAGAGCACCACATGTCCCTTCTGAGACTAACTTTCCGAATTTTGGGCAACTCGGTGAGGCGATCGCCATCGCCATTTAGTCCACACTTTGTCCTTCCTAGAGGACTACCTTAGAGACTGTATCCCATCTTCAGATAAATAATTTCTTCGATAATGAGGGACCTGAGAAATCCGATGTTTGGATTGACCATTCTGAGAAGACTTTTCGAGTTATGTAACGACTTGGTTCTTCCGTCTGGGAGCTAGATAATGGTGGGCACAGGAGTCTATTTTAGGCTAGATTCACACCTCCGGAGTACAAGGATCGAAAGAGAGGAATTCATAGAGCTGAAGCAAGGTAAAATTTCAATCACAAAGTACCACCGAAAGTTC